TTATAGTAGCCGTCCGTAAAATCATAAACAATGTTTTCGTATATAGATCGGGTACATTTGAGATTTCAAATGCAGACGGTGTACAGCCAGGCACAAAGATTGTTATACACTTAAAATCGGATAGCCGAGAATTCAGTGACGAGAATACTATCAATCGTAAGTACATTAGCGATAAGGATATGTTGTACACTTATAGTTACTTATGTTGTTTTACATACATTTAATAAATTCTATCTTCTCTTGATACATTCAGGCGTTATCAACAAGTACAGTAATTTTGTCGGCAGTCCTATTTTTGTGAATGGAAAGAGAACTAATACGATTCAGGTATCATCAATTATATAACTTTCTCTCATTTATCCTATTTTTAATCTACTATAATTAAAGAAAGATATTTTGCAGCCATTATGGATGTTTGATCCAAAAGATGTAACATCGTTGCAACATGCGGAATTTTATCGATTCATAGGAAATTGCATTGATTCACCAAGATTTGTATTGCACTATTCGACGGATGTGCCGTTAAGTATCAAAGCTCTATTATATTTCCCAGAAGAAAAGCCCGGAATGTTTGATTTGGCGAGGGACACTACCAGTGGAGTGTCGCTCTACAATCGAAAGATTCTGATTAAAAGCAAAGCGGAAAATATTTTACCAAAATGGTTACGTTTCGTTAAAGGCGTAGTAGATTCGGAAGATATACCATTAAATTTGAGCCGTGAACTACTACAAAATAGCACATTGATTGGGTGAGAATAATTTCTGATATTTGTATCATTTATTATTACATATTATATAATTAGAATGTAATTTTGATAGAAAATTGCGAAACGTGTTGACCGCACGTATATTAAAATTCTTAAATGAGCGATCTACGAAGCAGCCAGAAGATTATAATGAATTTTACAAAGCTTATGGTTTATTTTTAAAAGAGGGCATTGTAACTAGTAATGATCAATCTGAAAAGGTAATTTATTGTATTTTATATAAATGTCAAGAAAATATATCTATAATAATATTTATTAATTTGTGTTTCATTATAGGAAGATATAGGCAAACTACTGCGTTTTGATTCGTCTGCTGCTGCTCTGGGAGAACTAGTCAGCCTGCCGCAATATTGCAGTCGTTTAGCGAAAGATCAAAAGGATATATATTATTTGTCAGCGCCAAGGTATAGTGAAATATAGTTTAAATATCTCATATTAATCAATGATCTACAAAAATCATATATTATAGCCGGAGTCTAGCCGAGCAGTCACCATATTATGAATCTTTGAAAAAACGAAATATTGAAGTTTTATTCTGCTATGAGCCATATGATGAATTAGTATTAATGCATTTGAGACAATATAAAACTAACTTTTTGACATCTGTGGAAAAAGAAATGCGAGATGATACGGAAGCAAATAAGCCAGAAAATTTAGGTATATAATAAATATCACATATGTATTTATACATGTATTTGCAAATTAAGATGTCAAATAAAAAAATAATTTTTGTATTATATTCTTTGCAGGTATTATAAATAAGGATGAACTGGATAATCTTGTGAACTATATGAAGAAGATTCTCGACAAAAAAGCATACGACATTAAAATGACGAATCGTTTGGAGTCGCATCCTTGCGTAGTAACCGTTCAGGATATGGCAAGCGCAAGACACTTTATCCGCATACAGAGCAATCAAATGAACGAAGAAATGCGATATTCTATGCTTCAACCGCGCTTTGAGATAAATCCAAATCATCCTCTCATCAAAAAGTTATGCAAGCTAACAACTACAGATACTGAACTAGCTGATCGTTTAATACAACAGGTATGTTGTAATAAAAAGCTCTTCAAATGCTTTGATGTTTATCTTTTAAATAAGTTATCACAATATGTTATGTACTAATTGTAGCTATTTACCGGTGCTATGGTCGGAGCTGGATTAATTGAAGATCCACGTATATTATTGACACCAATGAATGAATTACTTACTTTAGCATTGCAAAAATATTAACAAAAAAAGGATTTAATCAATATTGTTCTATAAGTTAGAAATAAAAGGATATTCTCTTTTACTTTTTCTACTTTCAATCATAGAAGAACATTGAATGTCCCAAAATATCATATAAAACCAATAAGTTATTCTAGTTTTATTATTTAATAAAAATATATTGTTAAAACTACGAATAAAATATAACTTATTGTAGGCAAGATTGGTTTCTTTATTACAATAGGTTGTTCTTGTACAAATTAATTATAGCCTTACAATAATAACAAGTCAAGTTCCTCGTTTTCTTAAGAGATTTCGTGATATCGATATGTATTCTATTAGCAGGGCTAATGTTATGGCGAATTTAAAAATTGTACCCATGTTTTCCATGTTTTTTTCATAATCCATGGTTCTAAAAGTTGTACATTCTATTGTAAACTGTTCAAATGGCAAGCAATAAATAATTTTATAAAATTATTTTACATAAAATATATAAATATTTGATAAAATTATTTATTCCTTACTTTCGTAATTTTTCGAGAACATAACTCGCCAGTAGTAGGCCTGAAGTAATAAATAATTTACTAAAAAAATTATATATACAAACCATTTATGTACGCTTTCAATCAATTCCATACTAACTATAAAAGAAATTTATAATTTTAATGTTATTAATTTATCACTTGGAAAATTTTAAAAAAGATGGTTTTTGCGATTTTTGTAAAATCACTAAATGATTCATATACTATTTATAAAAAGTTCGCTGTTACATATTTTCTACTTTACAGTCTTTGACCAATGTGCTTCATCGTTTCTTTTTTTTTAAATAAAACTAATCTAAATGTGTTATATAATATTTATCCGTGCTTCATATTGTGATTATCATCACTGATATATCATTACTGACTGAAATTTTATATCGCTTATAATTTTTATCGAATTTGTTGCAACTGGCAGAATCAATTTTGTTCTCTTTATTTTCTCTCTCATACGATTCTAATGTAAAATCATTAAAAAATGTTATCATACGAATCTTAATATGTAATATGTTAATCCTCTAAAATTTCAGAAAGTAGAAGCACAGTTGACTTTAACTTATATGAGGACGAGAGACGATGCGTTTGCTCTTGGTCAACATAAAAATCACCCTGTTTAGCATTATTAGTAATATGATTCGCTAATATATCCTACTAAAACACGCAGGATAGCTAGCATCCTTTACAGAACAGGAACATAAAATCGAATTTCTCAACAAAATTCTACGTATATAAATGAACATGTATACCTCACCCAAATATAAGCTGCCGCTATACAATATCCATTAACAAAAAAGTACTCTAAATGAAAGTGACAATGAGTAAAAAAATCTTAGACATTAATAAAGTGTTCCTTGATTCTTCTATTTCCTTTATCAAATTAATCGAAGAAAATGCATTGCTTGTATGGCATTAAGAATTAATCCGTAGTTTTAAAAAGTATTCCATTATATAATATTATATGGAGTTCTTATAATGAAGAATACATGAGATGCGAATGGCAGATTGGTAAAGGGCGCAATAAGGTGAATTACCTCGCACCACTGAGCAGTCTTATTAAAGAGTAGATAGACGATAAAGCGTGATGTAAATGTAAATAGTAGCACCATATATGCAAATTTATCGGTCATACTGATGGTGACTAAATAAAGAGATAAAAAGGAGAAAAAAGTTAAATAAACGGAACGTTGACTTAGCTTACGTATACGGAGGAGGCATCGCCCCTTCCATCGCTCTTCTTTGTTTCTTCTTAAATTTGTTATAAAACGTTGGGTAATTAACATTGCAATTATTATGATACAAGTTATAGTATTTGATCATCGTATAAACATTATTATCATCACAGTAAAAATATTTCATATTTTTTTAACTATTAACCTGTGCATAAACACGTGCACAATCGTACACATATTTGTTCCGTAACACGGAGGAGGCTGTTCTTCTTTTTCACTAGAGTCCATTTACTTACACGCTAATCTGCTACTTCTTACTTAATATATGCATTATTAAGTAGTCCGTCGGTTCATTTATATGTAACCAAAATAAAGTCAGTTAGCAAATAGTAAAAATACATAAATGTACCTATGTATCTTTTGCACTGGAATTATAGTTGTTGGATTAATATGTTAAATTTAAACGATAGGTCATTAAACAATAGTCATTGGTCTGACGACACTGTCGTGATTAACTTTACTTTTCTCGAGTAATGAATTCCCTTTTTCTTATTCAAGATAATTTCTTACGCGTGTAAATATAGTCATAGTTGACACAATCTATTTTTCTCTAATAAATCTCATCTCCTTGGTAGAGTCGAAAGAAATATTTTCAATTATCGTGAAAAAAATAAAACAATATTAAGATTGCGTGCAGTGTACAGCGTTCTCTAATATGTATTTTTTTTGATTAAGCAAATAATTTGTATTTATAGAGTATTAACATCTTCCAAATGGAAGAAGAAATATGGCTTGAAAGTAGAAAATATATGAAAATTATATATTCAAATCTTTTTCTACCGCTAAGTCATAAAATTACATTGATCTATATTTTCGATTTTATTTGTATATAGGATGTTCTGCGAAGAAACCGACAAATTTCTAAGAATGTATTCTAAGAAAGTAGATATTTTAAAGAATTAAAGTGATCAAAAGAATATTCACATAAAAATAATATAAATGTTAAGTTTTGTTACAATGTTAATAAATTGTCTATGTCTTGATAACATTTATTATAAATCAAATTGACCTATAGAGAGAGAGAGAGAGAGAGAGAGAGAGAGAGAGAGAGAGAGAGA